AGCTTCAATTACCACCTACACAAAGAAGTCTCATACATTTATGACTCTAGCCCAGACTGCCCTGAGCTCTGGAATCACCTGTTTACTGGATGTCTCAACTGTACCCGAAACTCAACATATCAAAAAATCAAATCATGATCTTCTCTCCCAATCCAGGGCCCCTTTCAGGGTTTCCTATCTCGATGGCATGGCTGACTGTCAAGTCACGCTTAACAGAAACCGAGGACTCAGTGCTGACACTTCTCTCCACCTCACCACCCATATTGAATCTATCACCAGGCACTGACTTGACCTCCTCAGTCCTCAGTAAATCCTGACTCCACGCTGTCATCAATCTCCAAGCCTGGATTACCACAACAACCTCCCAGCTGGTCTCTAGGCAACTACTCATGCCCCTTCCATCTACGCTCTATGCTGTCTACATGTCACTCACCCCAATGAGAAGATTTCAAGAGGTTCCCATTGATTCTAGAATCAAAAAACAATCGTTACCATGGTCTGGCCTCCACCCAGCTCTCCAGCCCCATACCACACCACACTCTCCCTCGCTTCTCTGCTCTAGACACACTAGCCTTCTCTCTGCTACATATTGTCTTCTTCGGCTTCAATTCCCTTCCTTCTTTACCTAGTAAACCCTCATCCTTCAGACCTCAGCTCAAGCATCCTTTCCTCAGGGAAGTCTTCCACACTCCCCAGACCAAGTCAAAATCCCCTTCTTTAAAAAAAAAACAAACCCCATTACAAACTCTCACGGCACCTTGTGCCTTTCCTTCTTAGCACTTAACAGTTGTAATTTTATATTTATTTGTGTACCACTTATCTCCAGTAACAGATTTCATCCAGATTTCCCTTACCTTCAGAGGTTCTTCTTGTACCACCTGCTCACTCAGCTTTTTGGTGTAAGCATCACAGATTTCAGTCACTTGCACAAAGCCCTGGAGGCCATTGGGGAGACTAATCACCAGTTCCAGTTCATTTACCTCTTTCACACAACCCAAAATCCGCATCCCCTCACACAGGGACTAGAAGAGAAAAAGTGAAGTGTGTACAATAGGGAAGAGAACAACGCCTGGGGAGGTTAAGGAGTCTGGCTTCTAGTTCCAACTCTGATATACAAAAGCTACAGAAATACATACGTGTATATGTCAGTGCACTTATCAAACATCTGACTGAGCACCGGAAAAGGTCTAAATCATACAACAGTGTTAACAGCACGAGGGTGCTGGAGGGCATTTTTGCGTTTTACTTTATTCCAAACAACCCAAACTCAAACTCAAATGCCTGGCAGGCAACAAAATGAAGGAAGCAGGCCAGTGGAGCCCATGACCGTCTGGAGTGTGCACGCCACGTCTGAAGGGCACAACCACTACTCAGTTCCATGCGACTACGAACACGAGGGAATGCGTGCTGGTGTTGTCAGCACTTTCAAATTTTTATCAGAAGCCAGAAATCACATTTTTATATGAAATTTTTCAGTTTTCTAATGTTGGCACCAAGTTAAACAATCATTTTTTTAAGTATCATCCAGGACAAACAAAACACGTCTGCAGGCTGAGTCTGAATCTTGCCCCTCAGCATCATTTGACTTTCTTTTCTTTTTTACAACTAACATATATCAGAGTTTTCTAAAAATTTAAGGAACATAATAAAAGCTCTTCACTTCTCTGAGGTAGTTTCCACATGGATGAAATGAAAGGGCAGAATTAGAATGACTGCTGAAGTTACTGCCAGTTCTAACCTATGAATCCACTAAAACATAAATTCCTTAAGGACACAAGCAGAACAGGGGACTCAGCAACTAAAAAGAAAAACAGATAAATCAAAAAACAACTCATGAACCCAGGTACTGGTTAATAATCGAGGGAAATAATGCTCAATTCTGAGCACAAACTGCAAGAATCTCTACAGACACAAACACACACTATATATAAAGAGGAAGAGAGGAAAGAAGGGAAAAAGAAAGGAAAAAGGGAAGGAAGAATATATACAAACTTAAGAAACCCAGACAGTTTGTTTGAAACAAAACCAAACTTTAACAAACCTCAATACTAAGGATATCAAACTTCTCTTTTATAGACTTGCTGCTTTCTCTCTTTTCGATTTTCAACTTTTTTGTTTTTGCTGGTCCTTTCTGGCTCTTTTTCCTTTTGGTGGATTCCTCTTCAGTAGAAATCTTAAAGGGGGAAAAAAGATCCAAAAGAATGAACAGAAGCAATCCTGGCCTTTCCTCCAACTTCAGGTCATCTGTCACCTTGCTTCGTTACTCCCCCACTCCACCCCACTCCCAATTGTTCCTTTAATTCCTGCTTCAATCCCAACTCTCTCATTCTGCCACTAATGCTCTCTTTGCCCAAGGTCTGGGCCTCCTTCATGTTCTCAAAAGCCCCTTCTCTCCTGTGTTCTTCCTCTCTTGACTGGGATGGACACTGAGGTTCCCCAGTCTGAGTAGCAATTTAGAACAGAGCACGAAAATGGAAGATGGAGTCATGGAGACCTGAGTTAAACTCCCAACTCCACCATAATAAGTTCTGTGGCTTCATCTAAGTTATATAACCTTAGTTTCTCATCATGGAGTGGCAAACGCTACTTCATAGTATAGTTGGAAAGATTACATAAAATAGACATAAGGCCATACAATCAAATGTTAGTTCTCTTCTCTCTAGCATTTGGAGCACAGCCTACTCTAGGCGAAGACTGCGAATTTCTAATGTGAATTCTGACCATTATACATGGCAGGAGCCCATTCAAAAATTCAATGATCAAACTGCTTTCTCTCCATCCTTAATCAAATGGCACAAAGTTCCTAAGAATAAGGAACAATGGCATTGCAAACTTAAATACTAAATGCCATGCTTGAAAAAATATAGCCTTGTGGTGGTATGGACTCTATAACAAGTTTGATTTATAAAAGCAGACTTCAAAAAGAAACAAGTCTGGGGCTGGCCCTGTAGCATAGTGGTTAAGTTCACACACTCTGCTTCAGCAGCCCATGGTTCACAGGTTCAGATCCTGGGCACAGACCCACGCACCGCTTATCAAGCCATGCTGTGGCAGGCGTCCCACATAAAATAGAGGGAAGATGGGACAGACGTTAGCTCAGGGCCAATCTTCCTCAGCAACAGAGGATTGGCAACAGATATTAGCTCAGGGCTAATCTTCCTCACCAAAAAAAAAAGAAAGAAAGAAAAAGAAACAAATCTGGAAAATAACACATTCTCAAACAAGGCCCATTCTTCACAAGGACGCTAGAGAGAAAATGTTCAGTGAGTCTTACCAAACAAATATACCACTTACATCAAATAAGTTGTCTTGTTCAACTGACTGCTGGAACGCTTTCTCTGATTTGTGGGTCTTTCTTGTACCCCCTCGGGGGAAGCTTTCTTCCACGGTTGCCATGTTCGGGTCTCCTAAAAACAACGCAAATAGTAACGGTGAGACATAGCTCAAGTGTCAGATTTCCTAAAGGCTGCCATCAGTGGACAAGAGACAGAGCCTTCTAGCACCAATGTGCTAGACAGCATTCAGGACTAAGAAACAGATCTTTGATGCCAGGTCTCAAATAATCCATAATTCATCTTTCCAAAGGTCTCTGCTTCAAAACCACAAGTCCACACATTTTCCCCCAGGAAAAGAAGTTATAGATTCAATGTAGTAAATATCATTAGGCAGCTACAGTTAAGACACACACACACAGACGAATATATAACCAACCCCCTACCTGCAAAGAACATCCACACTTTTAAGAAGATGAAAGAATTATGCAAATAATTTAAAACACAAATCAGATTACAAACTATCAACAAAGAGGTAGAAAGTGATGAGGCTTCAGTAAAGGAGGCAAACTTCCTAAAAAGGATGCTTTTAAGCTGAATGTTAAAAGTTGAATAACATTTTGACAGGTAGAAACGGAAAAGGAGAAGGAATATGAGAAAAAGCATGTAAACAGGAAAAGCCAATTATTTCACTGAGCACCAGCAATTTGTCTGTCAAACAATTGCTCAAAAGCTTGCTGTTCCCTTTCTATGAAGAACTGTTCAACTAGACCACAGAGCAAATAAAGCATAATAACTGGAGTTAAATTTTAAAAGAGAGATTGGGCTTTTTTTGTGGAAGACCTTGAATTAGATATGAGTAGTTTAATGTTTACTCTGGCCAGTCAGAACCTTAAGGGAAGAGACAACAATAATCAAGAAAAATATCCTGCAGGCCATAGATTGGTCAGGACGAGAGATAGGGCTAAAGGAAGGTTATGGGGGCAGAAGAATTCAACTGCAGTACAGCAGAGAAACCACGGGAACCAGAACTAGGTATAAGTGAGAACGGAAGACAGGAGGGGTTGGTTCTGAGAGACACTTGGGAATAAGAATCTAGAAAGGCTTGAGACTATAGAAGAGGTGACAACCGAGAGGGAACTGAAGATTTGGAATCAGGAATAGGTGTACGTTTCGCAGAAACAGGAAAGGGCAGAAGGATTTAGTTTGTTGGGAACTTGACCCTTAATCTCATTTCAGACAAGGAGGAAACTGAAGCTTCAAAGAGTAAGGCGATCCAGCAGCAAAGAAGGGACTTAAGCTGCTTCCCGGGGACAGACCTGATGTTACAGGGGCAACTAGAGCAGAGCGGCTTCTAAGCCGGGCTGGGGTGGCCGAACCACTCACCCGGCACTGCGGGTGGGCAGGGACCCAGAGGACCTAGCCCTGGGAGACACCTGGAAGCCGCGAGGTTTCCTCCCTCCTCGCCTTTGCCCTCACTCACCAGCCCGGCGATGCCAGCACCTCTCTACTTCGGAGTCGGCGCCACTGTAACCACACACGCGGAGACCAAGGCACCCGCGGCCCAACACCGCTCTTCCGGAAGCGTAGGCGGGATCAACGCCCTACTTCCGTTACTATACCCCGGAGTTTTACAGGTCGGGGGAGGAGCTTTAGGGACAGGAAGCGGAAGGGCGGGACTTCGAGCCGTAGCCAATGGTCGCAGAAGGGCGGGTCGCTGTGTCCTTTTGAGCGCGTGCGGGGGAGGTGGTTTCTTCCGGCAGGGCTGAGGGGTAGCTGGGTGCGTTGAAGGACATAGCCTGCGCAATCGGCGTTTTGCAAGGTGGGTGTGGAGGGGAGTCCGGGCACTGGACCTCGAGTCTCGGCTTTGCGGCGCCGGCCTAGAATCTGGCCGTTCCTGGTCCGGGAACCCCGGGAGGCCTTCGCTTTGCGGGGCGAGAGCGGTGGAGAATGGAGGAGGAACTAGAGAAGAGGGCCGGGGCGCGAGGGGTTGGACAGCGTCTCAGAAGCCTCGGTGTGAGGCGGATAGATACTCCCATGGTTCCCGAGGGCACTTAGATTGCGTTTTCCAGTGGAGAAAAACGAGGCCCGCAGCGAAGGGAGTCCCCCAAGGTCACCCAGTGACGTAATATTGGATGAGAACTCGGGCTTATAACCCCACGAGTTAACCTCTTTTCGTCTGTATGCCCGTAGCAGTTTGTTTCCACTGCGCTGTGCTTAGGAGGCTGGCCAGACAGGCCTCCTTTGGCTGCGCTGCAGCCTTTGTCCAAGCGAGAGTGAGTGTGGCCCGGGCCCTGCGTTCGCCAGGCCCGCGGTAAGCGAGTTAGATTTCAGTCTGTGTACGATCAGCGGAAGGCCTTTTCTAGGAGGTAGCCAGAACAGAGAACTGTAAACTCCTGGAAGGGCAAAAGGCTGCGTCGGATACCTTAGCGGCTCTCACTCGGCTTTGCCTCCTTTACCTCGTGATCTCATCGTTCCAGGTAGGCGTGCAGTCAGACAGGAGAACAGCGGTATCCAGAAACAAAGTAGCGAGGGGAATTGGTCACTTTGGGTCTTTTCTTTAATGTCCATTTCACAGGCGAAGAGAGGTATGGAAGGATTAATTATATTTAATAGCGGTTCACCGCTTAATAAGAAACAAAAGCTAAGACCCCATTCTTAGACTTTCCCACAGGCTACCATTTAACAGTTAGTACAAGTATTTGTCTTAGGTAATTTTCTCCTTCGTTAATGTCTTTATAAACTTAAATGTGACTCAAAAGGAAATAAAGTTTCAGTTCAGTTATTCCACAAAGGGCCCTCGAATGCAGGGGTTCCTGATCTTTGCCCAAAAGTAACCTGGGGTTTGCTGAAGGGTGCAGACCCAAGTGTTTCCAGGCTTTGCTGGCATTGTTTATCTCACCAGCAACATCCCACTCCCTACTCTTCCCTCTGTGTCAGCCTCTCAAGAGTCTTCAAGACCCAGACTAGGTTTCAGTTGCTATACCATGGCTTTCCCTGCAGTCAGAATTAGTTGTCTGTGGAATATCACAAACATCAGCTGTTCTCCTATATTGTGGAAAGTAGAGGGAAATTTAAAACACCTTAATATTGTTTCAGTTGGACACCACATCTTCCTAAAAATTTTTGTTAGACATAAGGCAGTGGGGGTTATCAGGCAATAATCTGACAAAGTGAAGCCCTTGTTTTTTGTGAGGTTTCTTCTAGAAACCTGCTTGATACTGTAAGAATCCAAAAATGTTTCATGAAGATGAATGGGAAAAAAGAGAATGCCTTTAATAAGTGTAGTGAAATGAAACAGTTAATATAAAAGCTGTGTCATAAAGATTTCTTTTAATGGAGACTTTCCCTCGGGCTGGACAGGCCAAGGTTCCTGAGGGGGCCCAAGCATGTTTGGATTTCCTTCATTGCTCCAAGAACCTTCTGGAAACAATGTTCAAAATTAAGGTCATTTGTCCAGATTTTCATTGCCAATTCTATGCAGCGAATGCCTCTGAAGGCCTTTGAGTGGTAAACAGGGGAGTGCCAGTTTCCATAGCAACTTCCTCACAGATCTCTTGCTCTTCCATTTCATCAAGAGCCACCTGAGTTACTGCCACTGCCTACCAATCTCGACCGGACCTCGACCGGCTCGTCTATGTTGCCAATCGACTCGGCGTGGCGTCGGTCGTGGTAGATAGGTGGTCATACGTACGAATTTTCAAGCGTTGTTCTGGTGACCTTTGAATGTGCCTTTGCTATTTTTTATTATAAAAGAAATACATGGCTTTGTAAAATACATAGGTACTATGGATACAACCCCTCTTGAAAGTTTGCTGCATATCCTGGGATTTTTTCCTATATAATAACTAATAAGTATTTGGTTTTCTGTTTCTGTTACTGCAGAGTTTTTCAAACTTTAGCGTACATCAGAATCACCTAGAGGGCATATTTAAATAAGATTGCTGGACCCCAGAGTTTCTGATTCAATAGGCCTGAGGTAGGGCCCGAGAATTTGCATTTCTCACAAGTTTCCAGTCATGCTGATGCTGCTGGTCTAGGGACCAGACTTTGAGAACCATTGATGTGCTCTATAATATTATGTCCTATAATATAATGTCCCGAAATAGGATTTTTTTTGTATTTAACATTATATGGGGACATCTTTCCATGTCGGTACATAAAGATCTACACATATTGTATTTCCCCCAATGGAAACCATCATTTATCAGTCTTCTGTAGTTGTTGGACTTCAGTTTTTCCAGTTTTTGCTTTTATAAACAGTAATTCAGTCACCATCTTTGAACCATATAGCATGCTTCCACTTTGTAATATTTCTGTAAGGCTAAATTTGTGGAGAACAAATGAATCAGCTAGATAAAAGGATACTAATCTTATAATTTGATAGATATTGCAAAATTGCACTTGAGGAAGGTTGTACCAGTTTATACTCCAGATAACAGAGGGAATGCTTGTTTTCCCACATTCTTACTACTACTGCTTAGGTTAAATATTGGTCTCATTTTACATTTCTGTGACTAATTATGAGGTTGATTATCTTTTATCTAAGGAGTTTAAGGATTCCAGCTTCCCCATCACCACCAATAGCTAGTATGTATCAACTGCATTTAATAAATGATCCCTACTCCCCCTTCCCATAGAGGTCCTAAATTATTTGTAAGAAAAATTATAAAAGTAGGGGTTGTGAGTTGACCTGTTTGTAGGTCCCTGAGAAACTTTGAAAAGTATCACAAGCTCCAACTTTCAACTAGTCTTAAAACTGATTAATTCCATATACAGTGTACCATGGTATAGATAGTGCCGGGAGTGAAAACATCAAGCAATATTGGGTCAGAAGGTGGACGTGGAGACTACTGTGTTCTCTTCCTATGCTGAATGGTTTGACTTATATTCTTTTTTGTTTTTTTGTGAGGAAGATCAGCCCTGAGCTAACATCCGTGCTAATCCTTCTCTTTTTTGCTGAGGAACACCGGCTCTGAGCTAACATCTGTTGCCAATCCTTCTCCTTTTTTTTCCCCAAAGCCCCAGTAGATAGTTGTATGTCATAGCTGCACATTTTTCTAGTTGCTGTATGTGGGACGCGGCCTCAGCATGGCCAGAGAAGCAGTGTGTCGGTGCGCGCCGGGATCCGAACCCGGGCAGCCAGTCGCGGAGCTCGCGCACTCAACCGCTAAGCCATGGGGCCGGCCCCTGACTTATATTCTGAAGTTGTGTCATAGCAGCTAAGGTAAAGTCCTCCTTCCAAGAGTTTCTCTTATCAGCAAGGCTTTTTCCACTTTGCTACCACTGTGTTGGGTACAAACAAATTTAACACTATTTATGTGCAGTGACTTTTCGAGTTTTTAAACTTAAAAAAAAAAAGAAAATTGTCTTTTAAATTACATTGAAACCAATTTATTGTTGCCTTCTTTCTTTTTTTAAAAGATTGAAATCATGGCAGGTCCAGAAACTGATGCCCAATTCCAGTTCACTGGTATCAAAAAATATTTCAACTCTTATACTCTCACAGGTAGAATGAATGTAAGTATTAATGATACCTTTAAACAGTTATATTTTAGAAGAATATAGATGTGACAATGACTCTTGTTTACTTTTTACTTTCTTTTTCAGTGTGTGCTGGCCACATATGGAAGCATTGCTTTGCTGGTCTTATACTTCAAGTTAAGGTCTAAAAAAACTCCAGCTGTGAAAGCAACATAAACGGTAAGAAGTTGATATTTAAAAGTTTATAACTTGGCCATTTTGATGTTAGGGATTTCCCCCCCATAAAAGTAAATTGTTGTCATTGTGCATTACATAAAAAAAAAAAAGAGAAATATTGCCTGTATCTTATCACCCTGACAATTTTTAACATTTTGGTTTAGCTCTTTTTTTATGTATTTTATTTGGTTTCCAATGGCTATGATTCATGTCTGTAATTTTGTCTTAAAACAAATATGCCTTCTATAATTTGAATGCCTGAGTGCTCATGGATTTATTTTGCAGAGGAAATCTAGTAGAATTTTTTTAATATAAATAAAACTAAAATGAACGCTTTTGAGCATGAAATGTTGTGTATGATTTTTTTCTTAGGCTGAAGTGCTTTCCCAAAGGGTTGTGGGGCACCCAGCTTTGTAAAAGGGTGTCTCTTTTGCCCCAGCCTATTTTGAATATCAGTTTGATTTTTGTTAATATGATGAGTAAAAATGATTTGTATCTTTTTGAAGTTGTGTATTTTTTCCATTTGTTTACCATTTTTCTTAACATTCTCTTCATGCGCTTTTCTAACAATTGGGACTTTCTCTTTGCGAAGACCTTATTTCTCTTGTGTAAGCTCTTTATGTAATAATTTTTAACCTTTTAAATCAATTGTAAGTATATCTTGGTTTTTTTGCCAGTTTGTTTGCTAGTTTCAAATTTTTATATAAGCAATTCTATCTTTTCCTTAAATCTCCATAGACTTCATTTTCTTATAGTGCCCCCCCAACCCCCCTTTGCCCATGCTTGAGTGAATGAATATTTGTTGTGTTGGCAGATGATGTGCAGAAAACCCAAAACCAGATCTTTATCTGATGTAGCTATCCACGGACAGAAAATTTTTCCTCTGCTCTTAAAGAGCTTTTGCAATCCTATAACTACTGACCTTAGAGGACTGCATATCCCAGAATGCAGTAGCCCGTGGCTTATTCATGACAAACAGGTAGTATTTTGCACAATTTTTCATATTAGGTACCTTGTAACCCCATTACAAAAATGGAGAAATTGTCTCTCAGATATTAAATAACAGATGTTTTCTGCTGTTTAAAATGTTGCTTTATCTGCTAGACTGTTCCTGTAGTATACATTTAGGATCATACTGAATTGTTGGCAGCTCTTTTATTAAAGGTGGAATGTTAGGTTAGATTGTATGAAGTGGAGAGACAGCTTAATTTTTCAGGGTTACTGACTCCTTTGTGAATCTGATGAATTTGCATTCAATTTCAGGGGGTTCAGAGGGCTAGATAGTCCTCTACTAGTAATTATTGAATGTCTTGAAAGTAGAGTTGAACACATTTGTGTCTAAACTATTTTTGCTTTGTTTATAGGATTCTAGACTGGACTTCATCTGTTAAGTTTCCATGCCTGAGAAGCTAATGTCAACTCATCATGTGATACTCAATTTATACAATAAATTATGAACCTGGAAAATCTGGTTGTCTTTATTTACAAGATATCAAAAATATAAAAACTGTACAAAATGCAACAAAGGCAAAAAACTGGCAGTGACTTGGTCTAAATCTTTTAGTTTCCCAAAGCAAGGCTCAGTACTGGAGGTAAGCAACTGAAATGTCTGTCTGACTTCAAGTGTACTAGGTTGTGTATAGCCATTTTAGCTGAAGTAGAACATGGAAGCTAAACTTCTTCACCTGGTTTATAGAGTGTTTGGGTGCACTCAAAATCCAATAGGTGTAAATTCAGATGTTAGCAGATGGTTGTACTTCACCTAGGTCTTAGAAAGGAATTGTAGTTCACCCTACCCAGTTATGTACATTCCACTAATCATGGGCCAAGCAGAAATGTTAGTGGATCATTTAACATAGTACTTGAGTGCCATACAGTAACTACATTTTTACAGCAGAAACATACATGCTCATTGAATTCTTCAGCTAAAATTCAAGATGGTACTATATTACTCAATTTGAATCTTGAAGCAGGATGAATTATGGAAATCAATTGATTTTTCTTCTAAACATAATAAATTAAAATAGCATTTTAACAGAAAATGCATAGATTCCACACAATCCAAAGCACCATAAATGTCCCCTCCACGAACATAATACCTCTTATTCAACTAACGGAAATTAGTTAAATGTGGTTGCTATAGAAATGTGGAACTGTCCTGTTCAGATTTTCCAAGCAGCATACTTCCAGATCCATATAGACAAAACATTCTTTATAGCTTAAATATTAATTACTGAGGTATTTGCTTTTAGTCTCCCTTTTTCAAACAGTAGCTTCCCAAAGGTCTTTAATACCGATGGTTTATTGTGGACTATAAGCTCCTGCAGCTAGAACCAAGTTTCTTCGAGTAAAATGGAGGTGTACCACTGGTGTTGATTTGGTCATATATGTTCCCAACAATAACTCCTGTGAATTCTCAGGTAAATTTATGTGCCCAGTGGCTGTAGTAAAGTCATCAGTCTCTAAATCTTCGAATGCTTTGACAGCATCCCATAACCGGACTGTATTATCCATTGAACCTAAGAGGAAGTCAAAGGAAACCATTTAGTAGCATCCACCATATTTAGATTCTGACATTTTGTCAAGTATACTTTATGTATTTACTGTATTTCTAGTGAAAAAAGTCTAAAGTTGATTAACAACTCTTCCTTCTAAAAGAGCATTTCAAGCAGTAGTTTAACCTGAGAAGTCAATGTACATGTAGGGTGATACTCTGGAATCATGGCTAATGAGAAGCAAAACCAAAACAGCAGGACTTAATTTTGCAATTGTCAACTCAGTCTTTGCTTTTAACATTCCATTTACCTTTCACCATAAAGCCATTTCTAGTCATTTACCTGATGCCAAAATTTCACCATCTCTACTAAACCTAAGTGAACAGACTGTATCAGTGTGGCCTTTTAATTCTCCAACCATCAAACCATGTCCAATATCCCAAAGGAGTACTCTGCCATCTGTTGCTCCTGTAGCCAGGAATCTCCCATTGGGAGAAAATGTCAAGGAATGAATTGGTCCCTAGAAAAGAAGCCCATGGAAAGAAAAGTAAAGTTAAAAATATCTAAGAAAATAAGACAAAGTTAGAATTTTAAAGTTGAGTATTATAAATAATATCTTTAACATGTATGTCACTGGTTAATTTTAAAAATATTTTATCTCAAAAGCAACCTTGTGTGCGGGAATAATGAAGATATAAAATACCTTGTGTCCAGTGAAGATCCTTACGCAGTTTCCATTCAGGACATCCCAGAGCCGCACAGTTCTATCTGCAGAGCCCGTAGCAACATAATTAGAATTTGGATGGAATCTGGTGCAATTCACATCAGCAAGATGGCCAGCAAATATCCTTAAAGGCTGATAGTGGTCTGTAGCCCAGAGCCTTTAAAAAAGTTTATTGAAAGCAAAAGATGATAATTAGTAGTTAACTATGAAATGCCAAAATTCTATCCAAAATAAATATAGAAACATCCTTGTGAAATATTAGCTCCAAATGGGTCCCCCTCACTAGTTACCTGGGGGAAAGAAGAAGGAATGATTGAGACTAAATAACATTCTTAGTTGATCTGGTACAAAAATTTTTAAATTCTAGAATTCTTCCTAGTTCTCTGTATGTACACCCCCCCTCCTCTCCTCTCCCACCCCAACTCCTAGTCTAACCCATAGAAAAGTATTTTTCCCTCATTTTGGCCACCACATAATTAGTTTCTAACCTGAGCTACCTCATCCTCAACTTTTAAGGAGATGACAGGAAAACAAAGGTGCTCACAGTGGTAGTGAAAAACGAGGCTAAGCAAAGCAAGAGTGTTAGTTAATAAGCTAACTTGAGAAAGAAAAGCAGGACTCTTAGGACTCGGTATACACATAATTGCAGACATAGTTAATACTCCTGTCCCAAATTCATTTTCAAAGAAGGAGTTTTAAATGTTGGCATTCTCAAAAAGTTGATCCTGAATAATAGAAGGGAAAATGAGTTTGGCTGGAGTTTGTAATTCCTAACAAGAAACCATTCTGTTCCTTGAATAGACCCAGTCGTAAAATCACTGTTCTTACCGAGCTACTCGGTCATGGCCGCCTGACACAAAATAATATCCATATGGAGAAAACTGTGTGTCCCATACTGGATAGTTGTGTCCTTTATATCCCACCAAGCAAGTAAATGTTTGAAGACTCCACAGTCTAACAGTTCCATCCTCTGAAGAGGAAAGCAGGTAGTTCCTGAGAGAAGAGAAGGTGATTTGATTCCCAGAATAACTTTTAGTTACCTGTCCAGTTTCTCTGTACTTTTGAATGTATTAAATATAGCTAACTGACATGCTATATCTCACTTTTAATTTATACATGGAATTCACAGTAGATAATAAGAGTTGAAAGTACTAACTAAACTAATGCTAGCCATGACACTCTCCATCTACTGAGCACCTACTGAATGAGATTTGATTGTTAAAAAAACCTATCTATTAAGGGGAAAATCAGAGTTCTTTAAAAAAATAATAACAGGGGCCGGCCTGTGGTGTAGTGGTTAAGTTTGCGCCCTCTGCTTCAGCAGCCTGGGTTCGCAGGTTAGGATCCCAGGCGCAGACCTATGCACCGCTTATCAAGCCATGCTGTAGCAGGCATCCCACATATAAAGTAGAGGAAGATGGGCACGGGTGTTAGCCCAGGGCCAATCTTCCTCAGCAAAAAGGGGAGGATTGGCAACAGATGTTAGCTCAGGGCTAATCTTCCTCACCAAAAAAAAATAATAATAATAATACCAAGGGGTAATAACAAAAAGTATAGTCAAATAAGGTCAACTGAGAAAGGCTTCTAAGAAATGTGACTAAGATGTCACTTAAAACACAACAATTTTTTACTTTAAAATGGAGATGCTATTTTCCTATCCTATGAGTTGCATAAGAATGTAAAAGGAAATGTCTTTGACAAAAGAAAAAACACTATAGACATGCGAATAATACTCTACCTTTTTCAGGGATAAATACAAAAGCTGAGCTACTCAGAAGGTAATATGGTTTTCAATGAAATCAGAAGTTTCCCACAAGTAAAATGGTATCATCTGGCTAAATCCTAACAAACAACAAAAAACTTCATTCTCAAAATTTCATAAAGATAAAAATCTTGATGGATTAAAAGCTATTATCTATCCAAGTAAGATACAGATGGTAATATGAATACAAAATACTCCCCCATTTCTACAGAATGTTAGAGATCATGAAAAATAAGCAAATACCTATTTGTGAGTTTCAGATTCCCTTTTAGTATCCTCTTAGTTCTTTTGATTATACAAAGATAAATCTTCAATTGATAGCTAATATCCCTTTACTATCAGGAATCTGTTGTGAATTTGGAGATGATGGAAGACAGCAGTAGCCACAAAACCCAAGGCAGGAACCCAAAGAAGCAATTCAACCCTTATTGGGGTTATACAAAACTAAAGCTAATTTTTAAAACCAGCAAACCCTGAAGCTGTCCATCTTGATTCTATAATTTGGGTGCACATTAAGTTGCTATCTAGTACGCCAGTAACCCAAGATGAATTAGCAAATGGTAAGATTCTAAAAGATAATGAATGATAGGCAACCATGAGATTTTTCTAACAGAATTTTTCCCAACATTTGCATAATGTTTCCAGCAGTTAACTTTTATATAATCTCAATATAATACATCAGTATTTAATTTTTATTGTTTGTATTTTACCTATCCGGACTGAAGCTGGCTCCATAGACAGGCCCACTGTGACCATACAAAATCTTCAATTCACTTGCTGTTTTCTCATCCATGATTCTTTCTAAGACATCATCTGATTCTTTGTCTATAAGGCTAAGATCTAAAATGGTCCAGAAATATTGATTTTTAGAAGTATATTCATTAAAACCTTTTAAGGCAATCACATCACAGCTCAGGAGAAAAAATAACATTTGAACAGTTCTTCCTACATACCAACCACTGTGCTAATGCCTCTAAATTAGGTGATATCATCCCAGTGTATAGGAGAGGAAACTGAGGTTCAGAATAGTTAATAATGTGCCAGAGTGCACAAAGCTACTCGGTGTTAGAACTAGGACTGAAACTCAGATTTATCTACGATATCACAATGTTTCACAAAAATGAAAACTATGGAAATATTAAATTATTGAGAATGCATTATCTTGTTTAAACAATACAGTTAGCAAGAAACTTTCTTTAAAATGAAATCCTGATCTTATTAATCCTTTTTAGCCATTTTTATGGCTAAAACAGAAAGTACTCTCCCATTATTTCCTTTAAAGGTTTTTTTTAAAAATTCACAAGCAATCAGAAAATGTTCGATTTTAACCTTAACGAGTTTTCTAGCCTAAGCCCCTCATTCTACAGATGAGAAAACTGAGGCCCAGAGAAATTAAACCAGTCTAGCACCCCAGTCTCCTGATTGCCACTCCAGTGCACTTTTCACTGTTGGGAATGAACATTTTGAGTTAAAGTAAAGTCAAGTG